CTCCTCCTCCTCCTCCTCCTCCTCCTGCTCCTTCTCTCCTCCTTCTTCTTCTTCATCTTCATTTTCTTTTTGACTTTCACTCTCTACGTCTTCCTCGTCCTCATCCTCTCTCCCTTCCTTCTGATACTTCGCCCTTGCCTTTCCGCCGCTCGCTACCTCGAGGTCGACCTCTGGTCTCCTCTCCCTTCGTTCGCTCGACGAGCCCTGAATAAAGTCTTGAACGTTTTCTGGTGCATGGGGAATCGCTGTAAAGCTGATGTCAGCGTGTTGAGGGAATAAATACCTATTTCTGACAGTCAGAGCCGGATATTGTGTCGGGTCAAGGCGAGAAAATTCTTTGTGGCTGACCGTCGCGGCGGATTTGCGATGGCTCGCTCCCGTTCCCTTCATCTCCCCCCCTTTAAGTGCCTTAGCCCCTGCTGCGTTTCGGCTATGCTTCTTTGTCGCAGCCAGTATCTGAGTCCTCCTCTGTCCCGCTCCGGCTGACCCGATCGCTTCCTTCCCGGCCTCGTCACCTGCTTTCTTCGCGTGACCGCTTTCCCCCTCCGATCCACGAGACGGGTAAACATCCACATTTCCCAAAGTCGCATCTAAGCGCTTCAATATGTCATTCTTCTCTCCTATTTTCTCTTCCTCTGGTGGCGCCGGCGCCTTCGCCGCAGCGCGCCCGGTAATCCGCGTGGCGGCATAGAGCTCGTGCAAATCCCGCATTCGCTTTTCCAGTAACGACTGCTCTTGCTCGGATTGCACTGGCAGTATGGGCATTGGCTTTGGGGCAGGAGACTGGCGCGGAAGATCCTCCTCTTGCGTGTGGCTGCTCCCACACTTGCTTGAGGTGGCTAATCCATCGTCCCAAAGAGAAGCCTCGATCAGGGGCTGGCGCGGGCAGGACTGCTCGCTACCAATCCATGGGGTTTGCGTGGATGTGGTGAGAACGGGTGATTTATCAAGAGGCATACAGGTCCATCGCGACCGCATAGGATGTAAAATATTGCCGGTAGTCGAGGGGTATTGTCGCTGCGGTGGTACGCCCTGCTCCGCGTGGTTGCCTTGTTTCTCACGGAGTTGGCTTTCGAGTGCTTCTACCTGCGCTTTCAACTCAGCAACTTCAGCTACATGAGCCTTTTTAAGGCGTGTCACTTCGTGTTCGTGAACCAATTTCGCCATTTCAATGGCATCAGCTCCTTCACTCTTGGCCTGGCGAGCTGCGGCACGTGCTATTGCGGCGAATCCATTTACTTGAGCCTGAATTTGAGAGCGCTCACCTTCCGCTCGTCGCTCCACCTCGACAATTTCCTTCTGCAATTTTATAAGTTCGTTTGATTGAGTATCTAAGCGCTCGCGTATTTGTTGTGGGGTGATTCCTCCCAGTATGCGACGAGGGTCCTCCGGCTCGAAAAAGTCGCTATCAGGTCCAAAGTTACGATTCCATGAATCAATAATTTGTGAATCGGAATGATGTGAGTTTTTTTTCACACAAAATTGACAGGAAGAGGGTAGTGATGCGAAAGACGATATATATGCCGCGTCGATGTCTCCATGCAGGCCTTTACTACGCGGTCCCCTCGTATACATGGCCTGCATTGTGGGTTAGGCTAGTTGGTAAGCACGAGGAAAGATACAACGACAGCCATGCTTAAGCCAGGCAGGTTTGTCCACGATCAGGTTGCTTCACACTAAGACTGGGATGGTAGATCACCCGAACGCTGGATGTGGTGACATCTCAAGGCCCGCGCGGCCCACCTTAAAGCAACGGGACGGCTTCGTGGAACGGCTCCCGGACCGTTGAATCGGCGATAACGACCGGCAACTTGTGCTGCCCGTGAAATCCTTCCACAAGACACTGATTTACAATACCATCTAGGTTGGTGCGATGCCTTTCCCTCCGCAGGTGTCAGTGCCGCCGTCTCGGCGCCCTCCTCCCCCGCCTCCAATACCACGGCCGAAGACGAAGCCTCCTCCGCCTCCTCTGCCAGATCGCCCTCGCAAGAGACGAATAGAGTGTCCATCTATGAATGTAGCAAAGGATCAAGGAATCGAAACGTCTCGAGAAAAGGTGCCACCGCCTCCACCACCGAGAAATATTGCCTCTCAAACGCGTCCAGTTTTCGACAAGACGAGCGGGTCCGGTACAGTGCCAGGCCAGCAGGTGTCAGCAACAAGTTCTCCTCAAATAGCTCAAGAGCAAACCGTTGCTCCGGCGGTAGTGATTGGAGCGACAAACATGGCATCTAAATATGAAATTCTAGAGCAGATTGGCAGTGGCACATATGGCTACGTGTTCCGAGGGCGCGTCCGGGGAAGTGACAACGTGGTCGCCTTAAAAAAGATAAAATTGGATGACCCGCGTCCCGAACCACAACGTGATGGGGTAAGGTACTTCTCGAGTAGTGCTCGTGTCCGATGCTCATCTCTGAGTATGCAATGACGTTTCCTGACCAAAACCCGACTTTGGTCGGGTAGAGTTTGAGGGTATTTGATAACAATTTATTTTGCAAACAAGGTGGTATTTGGAGCAGAGTCATAAATATGCATCATGTCTCCTGTATCAAGCGTAACCATCGGTCATTTCATCTTTTTCCAAATTTTCAAGTTCCCAATCACAGCCCTTCGGGAGATCAAAATCCTAAGCTGCATGTCGCATCCAAACATTGTGCGTCTGGAGGAAATCGTCACTTCGTCGGATACCAACAGCCAAAACGGAGAGAGCAGAAGTGTGCCATCCTCAATTTACATGGTGTTTGAATACTGCGAGGGGGACCTTCTCGACGTCTTAAAAGCAGTGCGTGAGGGACGCTTTCAGCTGACACGGGATCACGTCTGCTCCTTCACACGCCAGTTGCTCGAGGGCATGCTGTACATTCACTCCAATCGTGTCGTGCATCGCGATATCAAGGCCGCGAACATTCTTGTCACGCGGAACTGTCGGCTGAAGATAGCAGATTGGGGTTTAGCCCGCTCATGGCGCCCTCTTACAGAGCCTGCCGAGGCTACTGCAGATGAAGACGTGGGGGCTAACGTGCATCACGCTGTAGCCAGCGCCAGAAAGTCCGAGAAGGAGAAGGGCAGTCGTTATACAGACAACGTTGTGACGCTATGGTATCGGGCGCCCGAGTTACTGATGGGTGTATCTAGCTACACGACCGCCATCGACATCTGGTCCATCGGCTGTCTCGTAGCCGAGCTCTTTCTACTGCGCACTCTCTTCCAAGGTCGCGATGAGCTCGAGCAAATGCACCTTATTTTTAGATCGTGCGGGACTCCTGCTCCGAAGAACTGGATGAGAGCTCCCACTAGCCGCCCTGCTACTCAGACCACAGCGTTGTCCTCTTCTCATCGGCCGCCGCTCCCAGCCCGCCCTCGGCGCCTCAAGGAGGAGCTGGCGGGGACCTCGGGCGGGCCCGATGGCGCAGACCTCGTCGACAAGCTCTTGGCCCTCGACCCCTCCTGTCGGCTGACGGCGATACAGGCGCTGGATCATGAGTTTCTCTGGCAGGACGAGCCCAAAGATCCAGAGGAGCTGCCGCCCCTTGTGCCCCTGCGGCGGATGGTCCCCACTGCAGGTGGCAAGGGGTAGGCTGGCCAGCCGGCGAGTCGATCAAAGGAAATAAACTAAATGTGGTAAAGACCGACGGCTTTCTTTTGTGGTTTTCTACTTCTTTCATTTTCCCCGTTCCTTGTTCGGCCTCATTTCAGGCGGACGGCTCTTTGACGCTGACACCGCACGCACCAATGCCCAAACGCAGGATATTGTCTCAATTTCTACCCATATGTTCCCTCCATCACTACAAGTACATCTTTTTAATTTGAAAAGCAATCAGTCCGCACTTCGGGCAGCTCACTCTACCTCTCTTCCGCCGCATCCACTCAACTACATAGTGAAAGCTCATGTCAAAACCGTACAACTTCTTGTCTGACAGGTGCCAGTGCTCTTACGACTGCCATCTCTTATCTCCACAGCCCTTCATTGTGCGGCATGCAGAACGCACTGCCACCTCGAGACCACTTTCTCCCAAACTTCCACTCCCCGCCCTCCCA